TCGTCCGCGATGTCATCATCGTCGTCGTCCCCGTAGTCGTCGTCCACGTCGTCGTCGTCATCGTCGTCGTCGTCATCGTCGGCAGCGTAGTCATCGGCATCGTCGTCGGCGCCGTCGTCGCCGTCGCGGTCGTCCGCTTCGGCACCGTCGTCGTCGCCGTCGGCGTCGTCGTCGTCGCGGACGTCCTCGTCGTCCACGCCATCGTCGTCGTCCAAGCCGTCGCCGTCGGCGGCGTCGTCGTCGTCGGCGTCGTCGTCCGCGCGTCGTTGTCGTCGTTGGCGTCGTCGTCGGCGTCGTCGTCGTCGTCGGCGTCGATGTCGTCCACGTGTGCGTCGTCGGCGTCGCCGTGATCCGCGTCGTCCGCGTCGTCGTCGTCCGTCATCGTCGTCGTCGGCGTCGTCGTCGCCGTCGTCGTCGTCGGCGTCGTCGTCGTGATCGTCGTCCGCGTCGTCTTCGGAGTTGTCGTCGGCGTCGTCGTCAGCGTCGTCGTCGTCCGCGTCGTCGTCATCTGCGTCGTCCACGTCGTCGTCGTCCGCCGCGTCGTCGTCTGCTGCGTCGTCGTCCTCCGCGTCGTCGTCGACGTCGGTCGTCGTCGTCGTCGGCGTCGTCGCGGTCGGCGTCAGAATCGTCGTCGTCGCGGCCGTCGTTGCGGTCGTCATCGTCGTAGTCGTCGTCAGCGTCGTCGCCGTCGTCCGCGTCGTCGTCGTTCGCGTCGTCGTTCGCGTCGTCGTCGGCGTCGCCGACGTAGTAGTCTAGTCGTCCGCGTCGTCGTCGTCGGCATAGTCCGCGTCGTCGTTTTCGTCCGCGACGTCGTCGTCGTCGCCCTGTCCCCGCCGCCGCCACGATGGCGCGCGCGGTCCTCGTCGTCGTCGTCGGCGTCGGTGTCGTCGACGTCCGAGTCTTCGTCCGCGTCGTCGGCGTCGGCGTCGGCGTCATCGTCGTCGGTATTGTCGTCGTCGCCGTCGTCGTCGTCCGTGTCGTCGTCGTCCGCGTCGTCGTCGTCCGCGTCGTCGTCGTCACGGTCGTCTTCGCGGTCTTCTTCGTCGTCGTCGCGGTCGTCGTCGTCGCCGTCATCGTGTTCGTCGTGGCGCGCGCGGTCGTCGGCGTCTTCGTCGTCGTCGTTGCCGTCGGCGTCGTCGTCGTCGTGGTCGTCGGCGTCGTCGACGTCGTCGTCGCCGGCGTCGTCGTCGTCCGCGTCGTCGTCGTCAGCCGCGTCGTCGTCGCCGTCGTCGCCCACGTCGGCGTTATTGCTGTCGGCGTCGTCCTCGTCGTCGCCGGCGTCGGCGTCGCCCGCGTCGTCGCCATAGTCCGCGTCGTCGTCGTCATCGACATCGTCGTCGGCGTCGGCGTCGTCGGCGTCGTCGTCGGCGTCGTCGTCGTCCGCGGCGTCGTCGTCGTCGCGGTCGTCGCCCGCTTCGTCATCGTCGGCGTCGCCGTCGTCGTGTTCATTGGGGCGCGCGGTCGTCGGCGTCGTCTTCGTCGTCGTTGTGGACGTCGTCGTCGCGCGTCGTCGTCGTCGACGGCGTCGTTGTCGTCCGCGACGTCCGCGTCGTCGTCGTCGTCGTCCGCGTTGTCGTTGTCGTGGTCGTCGTTGTCCGCGTCGTCGTCGTCGGCGTCGTCGGCGTAGGCGTCGTCGCTGTCGTCCTCTTCGTCGTTGTCGTCGTCGTCCGCGTCATCGTCGTAATCCGGTCGTCGTCGTCGTCGTGGCCGTCCTCGTCGTCGGCGTCGTCGTCGGTGTCTTCGTCCGCGTCGTCGTCGTCGTTGTGTCTGGCGTCGTCGTCGGCGTCGTCGTCGAAGTCGGCGGCGGCGTCATCGTCGTAATCCGGTCGTCGTCGTCGTCGTGGCCGTCCTCGTCGTCGGCGTCGTCGTCGGTGTCTTCGTCCGCGTCGTCGTCGTCGTTGTGTCTGGCGTCGTCGTCGGCGTCGTCGTCGAAGTCGGCGGCGGCGTCATCGTCGTCGCCCTGCCCCCGCCGCTACCGCGCGGGCGCACGCGGAGAGGAAGAGGAGGAGGAGTTGGAGGCGGGAGGTGGGGGCCGTGGTCGGGTCGGGGGGGGGGGAAGGGGCGAGGGAGGAGAGAGGGCGAGGGGGTAAGACAAGCGAGGTACGCTTGCGCCATGTCTGACATCCTGTCCCTCCCGCCCATCCATCCCTTCCCACTGCGCTGACTGTTTTCTATCCGCTGACGCGTGTCATAGTCGACCTGAAGCTCCAAAACAAACCCCATCGGTTTATGCGCAATCGGAAAAGAGGAGATGCGTACTTGGAAGGAGGAGGAGGAGGACGAGGACGAGATGGCGGGTGAGCAGGAGGATGAGCAGGAGGAGCAGGTGCAGGTACACAGGCCTCCAGTTCTACCTGAACACGGCCGCACCTGGGACAACGTGTCCCGCGTCCCTCCACTGGACCCCATCCCGGACCACAGGAGGAGTGTGCAAGACTAGCCATGGCAGGGGTGAGGGGGAGCCACTGACCGAGGCGGGTCGGTAGCCCCCACTCTAACCTGCGGGATTGGCTAGTCCTTCACCCTCGCCGCTGTTGTGCTGGGTCACGGGTCTTCGTGTGCTTGGACTTTCGTGGTCAAGGGGTAGGGTTTGGTGGAGGGGGGACACGGCTAACCCATGCCCCTCCGGGGGCGCCCCCTCTTGAGCCTTCGGTGGTGTTAGGTTCGTTGCTATTGTTTTGGGTCGCTGGCCACTGGCACTTGCGAGCCTATCACTGGACACATTTGATTGTTCGGGGGCGGGAGTGTACAACCCACTTCGTCCAAACACCTATCAGGGGCGGTTGGGTCTCCAGACCTTTCCCCTGGTGGGCGGGGTGGCAGGACGGCGACGCCCTTGGTCTAGGCGCACCGTCAAATGGGTGTGCACATGTCGTTCGGCGGTGGTTTCGGCCATGGTCGGGCGGAGTGTGCAGTCCCTGGGCGCCGGTCTCACTCGGCGGTGGTTTCGGCCATGGTCGGGCGGGGTGGGCGTCCTAAAACGACCCATCGAAACCAGAAGGTGGTAATAAGGGCCAACTTAGATGGGAGCGCGGAGTGAACAGGATAGGGAAGCTATGAAGAGGGCGAGAGCTTGGTAACGGAATGCGAGGTCCATGAACACGAAGCCTCTGGGGACACGAGCGCCACACAACAAGTTTCGGTTTTTGGCTGCGCTGCCCGTGTTGGTGTTTCTACACCGCACGCTGACGATGGCGGGTTCCCCCGACCATCTGGGGGCGGCACAAGGTTGGGCTTGCCCCATCCATCTGCGCCAGGTCGCCGGTTTCCACCGAGTGGCCAGCCGCCCCCTGCCCCACGCGGCCGGGGAGAAACGTGTGGCGTGTTTTTGAGTGAAATTGTTTTGTGGGTGATGTTTCCGTGAATCTCGTCTCTCGGGCGCTCTTTTTAGGACGAACGTCTGGATCGTCACGCTCCCCCCGTGGGTGGGGTCCCAGGGGGCGGGGTCTCCCCTTCGGGCCTCCTGGGGCCTGGACCCAGGGTGGAGCGTCATACAGCCTTGCAGTTCTGGGCCTCTTGGCGCGTCGGCCCCCCAATAGGGGTCGGTATGACTAAATGCATCAAGTGGGGCCACTGTGCGTGGTGCTCACCGCTGTTGCGGCCACCTCCATGGGGGACCGGGTCGGGCGCACCCCTTTCTCGATGTGCCTCCGCTATTGTGTTGCGCGCCTCGGGCGGTCGTTGTGTGGGCTGGTGCGGGTTTTGTTGCGGGGCTGTACACGCGATCGAGACGCGACGGTCTTCCCTCTTCCCATGGTTGCCCCCCCCCTGCCACTCTCTGGTCGGGCTCCCCTCCCCCCCTCCCCTCCCCCCTCCTCGGGCCCCCTGGTTCTCGTCCTGGTTTTCCTCTTCTGGCCTCCTGGGCTCCTGCTCCCCGCGTCCCCCCCCTGGGGGCAGACTGGAAAAGGGCGGCAGGGGGGCCAGCCGCTGTGGGCTTCCCCATCCTTCAGGTTGTACATAGAGGTTATACCGCCTGCTGGTCCGGGAGTCGCGCAGCGGCTACACCCCGGAGACGTGGACGTGGACGTGGACGTGAGCAGGAGGAGAAGGAGGAGGATGAAGACGAACAGCAGCAGCAGCAGCAGGAACTAGAGTGGAAGGGGTGGAAAGAGCAGGAGCAGGGGAAGGTGGAGGAGGGGAAATGAGAGGGGCGACAACGATGGAAAAGGAACGGAGTCGGATCCAGAAAAGTTGTCTGCGCTTGGGCGGAGAGCGCCATTCTGAACGACGGGAGCAAAGCGCCGATCCGAAAATGATGCCCACGCTGCAGCGGGAACACCATTTTGAAACACCGAAAACGATCGGACCGTAAAAACACATGGGAAATATCACCCTTGTTGAAATCCTGCGTGTAAAAAACAATACGCAGAGGGGCTCGGGCTACCTCCCGCACGCAGTCAAGGGAGAGAGGAGAGTAGTAGCAAAGTGTCGAAGTGTGGAGTGGGAAAGAGGGGGAGGAGGGGAGGGAGGGGGTGAGGGAAAGGATGGCGGTAGGGAAGGAGGGAGGGAGGGGAAGACCCAGCGTTACATGAGGGAGAGAGGGAAGGAGGAGGGGGAAGGAGAAATGAAGGGCAAGAGAATGGCTAGGACGGGGTGGAGGAGTCTGTCGTCGTCGTTGTCGTCGTCCCGTGCTTGCCGTCGACATTTCTCGTCCGCCTCCGAAGGGAGATGGGGGGAGGAGGATGGCCAGGAAGACGCGGAGGAGCTAGTCGTCGTCGTCGTGGTCGTCGTCGTCGTCGTGGCAGTAAATCGTCGTCGTCCCGCTCGTGTCGTCGGCATCCCTCGTCTTCCTCACTGGTTGTTCGGCAGCGAGTCGCGCAGCATCCTCTCAGTCACAGCGAGGAGGTAGACGCTAGGACGCGATAAAAGACAAAGAGGATGAGAGAGAGAGAGAGGGACCGCTCTCTTATGCCTTCTCCTCCACCAAATGCTCCTCGTAAGTTATCCGGCCGTCCCTCCCCCTCCACCTACCCACCCTTGACTCCCGTGTTCGCGCTGGCCTGGGCATTTCTCTCGTCGATCACCTTGAGCGTATCGCAGAAATTCTGCAGGCGCTGCTTGAACTCCGTGACGTCGACGGACTCCCCGTGGTAATACTTCCGCTTATGGGACAGCAAGAAGGCCAGAAACTCCTCCTCGGGCAGCCGACATACAAGACACCTGCCTGGCCCCTCAAAAGGAGGGAGGGCAAGATGCGAAGCTGCGGGGCGTGTGCAGGCATGGGACGGGCCCGTGCTCGCTGCCTCCTGTCTGTCTGTCCGACCTCTGTCCTGCAACGTGCCACGACATTGTCATGGGGCGTCGAAACAGCCACAGCGCAGATGCACGCCAGCTGGCAAATCCGCCGGCTCTGTCAGTGTGTGAGAAGGGGAGTCCTGGGGTGGCCGTCCTCGGGTGGTCCTGAAAGACGTACTTCAATTCGAAGCTCTCCCCACTGTCCTTGCGGCCACCTGCGTCTCCAAGCTCGCCGACCGAGTTGAATGGGACCCAGGTCGCAATCGAGCCGAAAGCAGAGCCCCTTTCTTTGATCCCTTCCCCGCTTGGACCCCCCCTGGAGTGACTCGGGTGGTATCTGGACCAGTTTGGCCGCTTTGGCGCCACATAGGCCCAGTGGGGCTCCCTCGCGACCAACCTCGGCCAACGTCGGCACGCTTCGGAATCTCGCGGGCCGTCTTAGAGGCCCTGAGGCCGGCCAAATCGACAGAATCGCGTTGCTCTCTTGTGTGCGATTTGACCATTCCCGCCGCGTCGGTCGCAAGAGCGATCGAAATGGCCTGAAAAGGCCCAAGACTGCCCAAGGCCAAAGATAGTCCGAGAGGGGCCCCCAAGACGGCCCCGGGAGGGGCTTCAAAAGCACACAGCTGTCGCAGCGCTGAAGCCAACCCCCCAACGCGACCTCAAATCGCCCAGGAGGCCCTCCAGACAGGCCCCAAGACGCGCCCGGGCGGGCGACAGCGGCCGCCAGGAGCCCCAAGAGGCCCCCAGAGATCCCTCCGAATGACCCCTGGGCCTCCAGAACACGACCCACGCGCATTGGCGGGATGGGCCGAAGACCATCATATCTTCGCCCTCGCATTGAAGCTGCCCCTTGCCCCCGCTCACCTTCTCCCTCTTGTCAAAGGAACCTGCCGCAAGGCCTCTGCAGGGTGCCACCAGAAACCCGTGAGGGCGGACGAGGCTCGACGGCAGGCAACGCGGCTGGCGACGGCGGCCCGCCCGCCCGAAGAAGGGAGCTCCGAGTCCGAAAACCGGCGCGGAGGATGGCTCGACGGCACCTCCCGAGGCGGCGGCCAGCGCACCAGACAGAAAAAGACGAAACATCGGGCAGCTGCGCGAGGAAAAGCTGGACCTGCCTGGCGCGAGGCCGAGGCTGGCACGCGCGGCCAGGGCCTGCGGTCGGCGCTGCGGCAGCGGCAAGAGAGGTGCGCTGGTTGAAGACGGCTGCGGGAGCCCCAGACTTCACACGGGCAAGAACGTAGTGGGGTAGGTCCATCGGAGAGGACCCCGCTGTCCCCTCACCAGGACTTGACTCACCCCGCCGGGGGCCAGCGACACGGCCTCCCTCAGAGACACTGGCCAGGGCTGCTTGCCTGGCAGCAGGCGACAAGATCCCGTGGACGCCAAAGTCCCCACAGAGTGAGGGAGGAGGAAAGAAGTGAGGAGGGAGGAAGGGGCTGAAGGAATCAGAAGCTGGAGTTAGGTCGGGCATGTCCTCAGACAGGCGACTCTTGGAAGAAACATGAAACATAGTCACACACACATACACAAAAATCAAAAAAATGTCAACAAAAAGTCGAAAGATCGTCCGCTGACTATAGTTTTATCATTTTTGAACACTCCCCCTGCAGAGGGACACGCCCGACGTCAAGCTGGAGGAGACGGGCGCGCGGCCGCAGGGTGTGCCGTGCCGCGCGCGAGGCGCCCGCCGAACACGGGGGCGGCGATGAACGGGCGACTCGGTGTCGACGGCCTCCACCCCCGAGCGTGATCACCCCCTGGTGTTGGGAGCAAGGAGAGGCGACACCAACACCAGCAGGGCGAGGAGATGCGCGGAGGCAAGGGGGGGTCTACCTGGTGGTGTGGTCCCCCCCTCTCGCTCGAGACATCCCCAGTCTCTCGCTCGGGGAGGCATCGTGGACCTCCTCGCTGGAGGTGGACCCCCTGGTGGTCTTGGTACCGCTTCTCCTCCCTCCGAGGTGCTGCCCCTGACGGGGGCGGAGCACGCGAGCGTGGCAGAGCGCTTCCAATAACGAGGGGTCGCGCTTCGGGGCCGTGGCACCGCCGCGGGTGCAGAGCGGCACGGCGCCGACCTTGCAGACGTGCCGCAGCGGAGTTTCGCGTGGATTTCTGCCAGTGCAGAAACCCCCCGAGACGGCGGGCGAAAAACGGCATGAATTGCACGTGGCTCTTTGGTAAAGTTCATTCCTGGCCAGGAAGAACCCGCACGAAATTCACATCGAAATCCGGAACGAAATTCTCCAGGACAATCCGGGCCCATCCCATTGTTTTCCGAACGAAATCCGCTCTGCGAAGCTGGCGCCATGCGAAGAGCGGAGCGGCGTGGGCCACAAGGGTTATGGCACGGGCGTCGACAGGCGGGACCGCACACGCTTGCAGGACCGAACCCAGCAGGTGCGACGAAGGGGCCCTCCGAGGGCAAGTCCACGATCCTCATCCTGCTCCTCCTGCTTCACCTCTCCCTCCTCGTTTTCCTGGCTCCCCGCCTACTCATGCTGACCGTCCCATCCCGACAAAGGGCGAAGGCCCAACCCACACGCCGAAGACGAGGATCCTGGTTGAGTTCTCCCCCAGAGCCGTCACCGCCTAAAAAGCTGCATGGTTGCAACTTGAACGTTTGCCCCGCGCCTGGCCACCCTCCCTCTTTACTTGTAGTCTCGTCTGGCAGAGGGGCGTCCTCAGAGGGCATGGTCCACAAAATGGGTCCTAGGCCCCGCAACCAGAAACAAGGGTACGTTCCAGCGCCTCCTCATCCTCCTTCTCCTCATTCTCCTCCTCCTCCTCCCCCTGCTGCTCCTCCTCCTCCTCTTCCTCCTCATCCTCCTCCTCCTCCTCATCATCATCATCCTCCTTCTCCTCATTCTCCTCCTCACCCTCGCCTTAGCACCGCACGCACGAGCTTCACAGATGGAAGGCGGCTCGCGTTCAACATGTGGATCTCGCCTCGGCGCCGCCCACATTCGTTCCAAACTCTTGCAAGAGCTTCACGGATGGAGGGCGGCTCCTTTCTCTGGGTAGTCGAAGCCAATCTGGCGCCAATCTGGCAGGCCCAATCTGGCAAACGCGGGCAATCTGGCGAGGGAGCCAACGCGAATCCAGTCTGGCGAATCACCCAAATCGTCCAGCTTGGCCAGGCCAGATTGGCCCTTGGGGCCCAATCCAATCTGACAGTCTGGCCTTCGACTACCCAGTTTTTGAAAATGTGGCTCCCGCTTTAGAGCCGCGTACATGTGTTTTAAAAGCTTGCAACCGCTTCACGGATGGAGGGCGGTTCCTTTCTCAAAGTGTGGTTCTCGCCTTAGCGCCGCGCACATTCGCCTCAAGAGTTCGCAGCAATTTCAAGGTTTCTCCTCGTTAACGTAACAGAACACTGTGTTGGCACGATGTCGAGATGTCAGGGCGCAACAGTCACGTTGATCCGCAGTGTTGAAATCCCAGGAATGGTTTTCTGGAACGACTCAGGATCGCCAAGACGCAACAATGATGGTGATTCGCGGCGCTGATGCCCCAGGGATAATTTTCTGGCACAGTTCCAAATTTTCAAACTGTTGTCTTCCAACGGGGCGCTTCCATCAGTGAAAAAAAAACATCCGTGTAGGGATCTATGAGGAGGGAACTTCGAGGGGGGGGGGGGGGGGGGGCATTTTCCAGAGAGAACACCTGGTGATGAAAACTGCCATCTTCCCAACTGATGGGACGATGACTCCACCATGCAAGCATAATTAGCGATGGCGGTCGGGACCGAGCCCCGAGCAGTGCAAAGTGGTGGCCAGCCCCACCCGTTCGTGTGACGACGAAGAGACCCAAACAACAAGAGGACAGGCAGGCGGAGCAGGGAGGACGAAACGCGGGATGGCCGAGGCGCAAGGCAGAGGGACACCAGCTGCTTAGGGAACCTCACCCTGGACAAGGAGGCAGTAGTCGAACCAGTGATTTGGGCAACAAATATGTTTGCACTGCGCGGGCACCTCAGCCTGAGGCACTCTCGCACAACGAGTTGGGCTACATAATTTCACGTCCATGTCACCAAAACCTCGAACTGGGTATGGCGATCCTGCACCACTAAATGGCACCTCAAAGGGAAGAGGGGGAGGAGGAGGAGGAGGAGGAGCAGGAGGAGGAGGAGGAGGAGGAGGGGAAGGGGAGAGCCAAGAAGGAGGAGAAGAACGAAACAAGACAGGCGATATCCAATACAGCGATACGAACTGTTGGGCGCAAGCACTCGCCCACTGAAAACTAGACGTGTGGAGCATACTGATGCAAAGGTGCCGCCCCGCCCCAGCACCTTCACGCGCGGTGGGCCTGCGAGCCATGAAACAGCAGATAGGGCGAGCCCAGAGCGTTGGAGCCCTAGGGTGATCCGACCACGGTCGCAAGGCAACCCGCGTGCGCCGCGCGCGCACGCAGCCGGCGAGAACCGCCAATTCCCCGGCAAGGGATGCCTGCCAGAGGAGGGAGGCGGAGGGGAGCAGGGAAGGGCGGACAGGAAGAACAAAGCCTGCAGAGAGTGCCCCATCAAACATCCACTGGGCACGCAGCTGTCGGGGAGGAGCGAAGAGACAGGAAGAGGAGGGGGAGAACCGGCCAAACCCAGCAGGGCTAGCCGGCGCCACGCCTCCGGGAGGCAAGAGCGGGAGGAAAGAGGGGAATGGGGACGTTGCACCAAGCGGACCCTGGATGCAACGAAAGCGTCCTCTTGCACTCCAGCCGCCGACCCTTCCGCGTGAGCCATCGCTTCTCTGGGCCTGGCCGGTCCGAGAGCCCTGCCAGGGCTCGAACCGGCAAGCCAACCTGAACGAAATGCAACGGCGACGCCGAATGGGAGGAGAAGGAAGGGAAGGCAGGGGATGTGTGTATAGGGAGACGGCCGAAGGGCCGTTCCTATATGGGGTCCGTA